CCCCCCCCGCCGCCGCCCTCGAGAGGAGGGCTACAACAACATTGTCACGCCTCGTCCGCCCGTCCTCCGCCCATCCTCTCCCCCCTGCGCACATGGGCGGCGCGCGGCAGAGAGAGACCAGCTCACCCTCCATTAGGCGGCAATCTCCTCCTCAACGGCGGCAGCCTCAGCCGGGGCGGCATCCTTGGGGGCCTCGGCGGTCGGGGCAGCCTCCTCGGCGGCGGCGGACTCGTCGGCGGAGCCAGCAGCAGCAGCCGGGGCGGCGGCCTCCTCCTGCTGCTGCTCCTCCTCCTCCTCCTCGCCGGCGACCTCATCCTCATCGTCGGACGGGTCGGCATCCTCGGGACGGCCGACATCGAAGGAAATCTTCAGGAAGCGACCGCCAGGAAGCTCGTGGATGATGTGGGTAGAGGTACCCTCCTTGATCTTGACGGCGACGTCGTTGATCTTGATGCCATCGACGTTCATGGACACGGTGGCGGCCTTGCGGACGTTCACGCGGAAGGGGCTGCGCTTGATGGCCTTGCCGTTGATGCAAAGCTTGATGGTGTGGCGGCCAGGGACCAGGGGAGTGTAGGTGACGCGGTAGGCACCGGTGTGCTCGTCGGCGGCCTCGGTGGCGGCGGCCGAGTCGTCGCCCTCGGTCTCCTCAGTCTCCTCGGCGGCGGCAGGGGCAGCAGCCTCCTCCTCGGTGGCCTCGGCCTCCTCGGTCTCCTCGGTGGCAGCAGGCTGCTCCGAGCCGACAATCACCAGGGCAGCCTCGACGGCCTTGCCGCTGGGATCGACAATCTCGCAGGTGAAGTTGTCGGTCTCCGGGTCGAAGGCAGCCACCTCGTTGTTCTTGTCGCGCTTGATGACAAAGAAGTGGGTCTCCTCGTTGACCATCGGGGCGTTCAGGCCCATGCCCTCGCCGGTGCAGTTGTTGGCATCGGCACCGACATTGACCTTGACCTTGAACGGGGCCTTGGGAACGGTCTCGCCGTTGACCTTGACATCGACCTCATGGTTGACGGGCTTGGTGGGCTGGTAGGCCACGGTGTAGGTGCCATCGCCGTTGTCGGTGACAGTGGCCGGGATGTCCTCGCCGTCGGCATCGGTGACGGTGGCGGTGATCTCATCGGCACCAGCCGGACGAGCATCCTTGGAAGCGGTGCGCGGGGTGACCACAAACTCCGTCGGGTTCTCGGTGTCGGCCTTCTTGGTGCCCTTGCCCTCGACCTTGGTCTTGGACACATCGGCACCAGAGCCCACCGGAACGGTGAACACGGAACCGGGGACACCATCGCCATTGACCAGGACCTCGACCTGGTGATCACCGACGGAGGTCGGCTCGTAGCTGACCTTCATGGTACCATCGCTGGCCGGGGTCAGCTGGGCCGGGACCTCCTCGCCATCGGGACCGGTGATCTTGACATTGACATGCCCGGTGGGGTTGGTGTCGGACTCGGTGACGCCCTCCTCCAGCGGCAGGCAGGCAACATCATTGCCGGCGGCATCGCGCACGCGCACGAAGAAGTCGGTGTCAACATGGTCGGCGGCCGACTCCAGACCCGGGCCGAAGGCCTCGCACTTGCTGGCATCATAGTCGGGGCGGATCTCCGGAGAGAAGGTCGAGCCCGGGACATGCTCCTCGCCAACGAGAACATCCACCTCATACTTGCCGGCGGCCGGGGGGAGGTACTCCACCTGGACGGTACCGTCCTCGGCGATGGTCGAAGTGAAGGGGACCTCCTGGCCGGCGGCGTCACGAACGGCCACCTTGACCAGCTCGGCATCGGCCGGGCGGTCCGCGCGCAGGGGGATCACATCGCCATCCACATCGCGGACAGTGACCACGAAGGGGGCGGGCTGGCCGGCAAGCGGGCGCTCGAGGCCGACACCCTCGGCCGAGGAAGAACCACCGGTCGGGGCGCCGAGGATGGCCACGGTGAACTCAGACCCGGGGACCGGCTCACCATCAACAACGACGGCCACACCGTAGGTGCCCTTCTCGCTGGGGGTGTAGGCAGCACCACGAGTGCCATCCTCGTTGGCGGTCAGCACAACGGCGACGGCCTCGCCGGCGGGGTTGGTCACGACCACGGAAGCGGCATCGTGAGCCAGGGCACCGGTGGCCTCATCGGTGACGACACCGGTGACGGGGATGGCGTTGCCCTCCTCGTCGCAGACCTCGACGGTGAACTGGGCCTCGGCACCGGCGGTGTTGCCGGCCTCCAGACCCGGGCCGTAGGCCTTGGACTGGGCACCGGAAGCCTTGTTGCGGACCGGGACCTGGAAGGGAGAGCCAACGACATGCTCACCGCCGACCTTGACCTCGACGATGTGCACACCCTGGGACTCGGGGGAGAAGACCACATTGCGGATGCTCTCCTCGTTGACGTCGATGGAGCTGGGCAGGACGGCACCGGTCTCCGGGGCAGTGACGGTGACCGTGACCGGCTCCTTGGACTTGGCCAGACCGCCGGCCGGGGGGGCGGCAATCAGGTCGCCCTTGGTGTTGCGAGCCTCGACAAAGAAGTGAGTCTCAATGGCAACAGGCGGGGACACGAGACCAGGGCCGTAGGCCTTGGAGTTGGCGGCATCGGGCACTGGGGGAACGGGGGGGGGGGGG